GCCGTGTGGGTGGCAACCACTCGATGTGTCCCTTTCATGTCCATGTTTCTCCCTCTCTCTCTCTCCCGCTCTATCTGAACAAAATATCAAAAAATGTCCTTGGGTGAGGATTAAAAAAAAAAAAAAAAGACTGTCCTTTCTCCAGTGAATTTTGCCAAAAATCATTTTACTGTATTTGTGTATTTGCTTGATGGTTTTGCTTAGATCTTCTGTATTCTTGCTAATATTCTGTCTGCTCATCCTATTGCCTGCTGAGGGGAGTATTGAAGAATAATTGTAGATTTTTCTATTTCTCCTTTTAGTTCTATTATATTTTGTGTGTACACATTTAGATTATTATGTTCTCTGGGTGAATTGATTCTCTTATGCAATGTCCCTCTTTACTTCCTTGCTTTTCTTTATAAATTTACAATCAAATTAAGTAACCCTACACTTTGTATTTATTTTATGCCATTTTTTGAACTTGATATAAATGGGACTGCACAAGATGAATTCTGGTGTCTAGTTTCTGCCTATCACTTGTTATGATTGTGTAATAAATGTACATTGGTGCACAAGGTCGTAGTTCGTTCATTCTCGTTGCCTGATCAGTATTTTCTAGGTTTTAAAAAATTAGATGAGCCCTGGCCGGTTTGGCTCAGTGGTTGGAGCGTCGGCCGGCGGACCAGAGAGTCCGGGTTTCGGTTCCCGCTAGAGACATGTACCAAAAAATAAAAATAAAAAATTAGATGTAATGCACATATTCATCTTTTCATCCATTCTTTTTTTTTTCTTATCAATATCTTTATTTTTTTTAATTGGGTATAATTGACATATATTAGTTTCAGGTGTACAACACAATGATTCAATATTTGTATAGACTGTGAAATGATCACCCCACTAAGTTTACTTAACATCCATAACCACAGTTACACTTTTTTCCTTGTGATGAGAAGTTTTAAGATCTATTTTCTTTGCAACTTTCAAATGTGCGGTACATTACTATGACCTACAGTCACCATGCTGCACTATCATCTCATCTGCTACTGAGGTGCACTTGGTTGAATTCCACTTTGTGGCTGACATGAGCAGGGCAGCTGTGAACATTCGGTCCATGCCTTTTGGTGACCATCTGTACCTTTCTGTGATAAATACTCAATTGTGGAACTGCTGGGTTATACGGTATTTCCCGGATATTAGCTATCTTTTACCAAAGTGTACACACTAATTTATACCTCCACTATCTCTGGGGCGTTTTTTAGAACTGAATTTTATTCCAACCCAAAGATTCTCCTTTATTCAGGAAAGATGCATTCTTGCAGCTTCTCTGTTATTAAAAATGTCCCTCTGTTTAATGAAGAATAGTTACATTTTTCAAAGTATCTCCCACTCCTCAGAGATTATTTGCCACTGAGGGCCACAGTTATGTCCCTCCCTGGGCTCTGCCTTTGGACACAGCCCAGGCCATGGCTCCCACCCACCCCAGGGGTGGCCCAAGGCTGGGGTACAAAGATTCACCCCCTCCTTTTATTAATTGATGAGCTATTTATTTGGATAAGACAAAAAGGTCTCCATCCAGCAATTCCACCTCTGGGTATATATCCAAAAGAACAGAAAGCAGGGACTCAACAGGCATTTGCACACCCGTGTTCACAGCAGCACTATTCACAGTAGCCAAAAGGTGGAAACAGACTACGTGCCCATTGCTGGCCAGCAGGATCGGCTTCCTGAACATAGGACCCTGGCTCAGAAATTTTTTGGTCTTGAAATTCTTCTAATTTTGAAACAAGGACCATGTTTTCTTTTTGCCCCGACCCCACCTTGACGGACAGATCACAGCTGGTGCCAAGACCCAGGGAGCGCTGGCCTACCATCAGGGCAAGGGGCTGACTTCTCCCTGCGGTTTCCCATGTGGAACTGGGATGATGACAGGACCTTCATTTATTGTATGCCGGGTAGAGCCTCCAGGTAGATGGGACAAGAGAGCAGCCCCACAGGGACACGGAGGGCATGAAGTCCAGGTGACGTCCAGGTGCACGGCAGCCTCATCAGGCTCCCTTCCCAAACCGACCTCCCAAATCCAGCTTCCCTCCTGAGCCTTCATTTAGTCCAGCCCCCATCATTTTCCACCTGGAACAGCTCAGTCCCCTCGAACTTAAGAGTTCCTGCCCTTGCGCCCTATAGTCTGTCCTCCCAGAATCAGCCACCAGAGAGCATCTGTGAGCACCTGACTCAGGTCCTGCATCTGTCTCCCCCAGTCTGTCCTTCCCACAGCAGGCCCAAGGAAGTGCCTGTGAGGATCAAGTCAGGTCCTGTTCTTCCTCGCCCACAGCTCTCCGGGGACCTACCTCACTCAGAATAAAACCCTAAGTCCTCTCTGTGACCCACAGGCTCTCCACGACCTGCCCGTCCCTTCCCAGGCCTCACCTCCTCCCTCTCTTCGCTCACTCTGTGTCAGCCACACGGGCCTTCTTGATGTTCCTTCTACACACCAGGTATAATCCTGCCCCATGGCCCTTGCATGGGCTGTTTCCTCTGCCTGGAGAGCCCTTCCCTCCAGTCACAGCCCGACTCCTTCGTGTTTTCTCAGAAAGGCCTTTCCTGGAAAGCCTGTCTGAAGTGGCCACTATTGCTCATCCCACTTCCCTGCTCTGCTTTTTCTGCATAGATTAAGTTATGATGACAAGTACTGCTCTGCCTTTTGCTATATTGGCAATGCCTAGGACAGCGCCTGGCACACAGGAGGCCTTCAAGGTATATCCTGTTGGGGAACCAGTCAATAAAACTGGAGGAGGATGGAGAGAAGTTGGAATCCTGTACACAGCTGGTGGGGATGTGAAATGGGGCAGCTGCCGAGAAAAACAAGAGCAGTTCCTAAACACAGAGTTTCCATATAACCCAGAAATTCCACTTCTGAGTGTTTATCCAATAGAATGCAAACAGGAACTCAGAGATTTGTACACCCATGTTCACAGCATTATCCACAATGGCTAAAATGTGGAAAAAACCCAAGTATCCACGGACCAATGAATGGACAGTGTGGTCCATCCAGACAAGGGAAGGCTATTCAGTTAGAGATGCTGGAAAGACAACCCCCTCATTATAGTGTAAACGAAAGATGTTGTATAGCAGGCTCCCTGCAGTCTTTTTTCCCTTATTTTTTTCTTTTCTGAAATTTTTAATTGTGGTAAAGAGACGTAACATACAATTGGCCATTATAACTTTTTTTTTTTTTATCCTCACCTGAGGACATTTTTCCAATTTTTGTATAGATAGAGTGGGAGGGAGAGAGAGGGAGAGAGAGAGAGAGAGAGAGAGAAACATCGACGTGAAAGAGACACATCGAGTGGCTGCCACCCGCACGACCAACCAGGGCCGGGGACAAACTGCAACCGAAGTACGTGCCCTTAGCGGGAACCAAACCCGGGTCTCTCCGGACCACAGGCCAACGCTCTAACCGCTGAGCCAAACCGGCCAGGGCAACCATTTTTTTTTAATCCTCACCTGAAGACATTTTTCCATTTTTTGTTCAGATAGAGTGGGAGGAAGAGAGAGGAAGAGAGAGAGAGAGAAACATCGATGTGAAAGGGACACATCGAGTGGCTGCCCCCTGCACAATCCAACAGGGCTGGGGACAAACTGCAACCAAGGTACATGCCCTTAGTGGGAACTGAACCCGGGTCTCTCTGGACCACAGGCAGATGCTCTAACCGCTGAGCCAAACTGGCCAGGGCCATCATAACCATTTTTAAGTGCACAGCTCAGCAGCATTAAGTATATTCACATGCTGGTGTTACCATCTCTACCATCCACCTCCAGAACTTTCTCATCTTCCCAAACTGGAACTCTGTCCCCATTAAACACTAACACATTCTGTCACCTGCTACTAATGGACGAACCTTGAGGACATTTTTCCACTTTTTTTTGTTCAGATAGAGTGGGAAGAAGAGAGAAACATCGACGTGAAAGGGACACATCAAGTGGCTGCCACCCACACAACCTAACCAGGGTCAGAGACAAACTGCAGCCGAGGTACGTGCCTTTAGTGGGAACCGAACCCAGGTCTCTCTGGACCGCAGGCCGATGCTCTAACCGCTGAGCCAAACCGGCCAGGGCGAGGACATTTTATACTGTGATATAAGCCAGACACAGAAGGACAAATACTCTGATTCTACTCATAGGAGGTCCCTAGAGAAGTCAGATTCAGAGAGACAAAGTAGATGGTAGGAGCCAGGGAATTAGTGCTTAATGGGGACAAAGTTCCAGTTTGGGAAGATAAGAAAGTTCTGGAGGTGGATGGTGGAGATGGTAACACCACCATGTGAGTATACTTAATGCTGAACTGTGCACTTAAAAATGGTTATGATGGCCAAATGTATGTTGTCTCTTTACAATTAAAAATTTTAGAAAAGGATAACTGAAAAAAAGGCTACAGAGAGCCTGCTGTACAACGTCTTTCATTTACAAGATGGTGGGGGGCTCTCTTCCCAACATCTCTGTGAGCGGCATGTTGGTTCCTCTCCCCAAAAAGGAGGTGCTTCTCTCTTTCTCTCTCTCTCCTTTGATTTGAGAGGAAAGAAGAGTTGTTCCACTTATTCATTCATTGGTTGATTCTTGCGTGTGCTCTCACCGGAGATCGAACCTGCAACCTTGGTGTATCAGGTTGATGCTCTAACAAACCTGGCCAGTGCAGGAGGTACTTCTCTCGAAGGATGCTCCACTTCAAGACAAATGAGCTTGAAGTCAAGGGCCAAGAAAGAGAACCTCAGAGCATGGGTCCTGGTGCCCCAGTCCCAGCCCAGGTCAAAAGGCCGCCCCCAAGGAAGCCATGGCAATGGCTCCCATGAGTTCAGACCCCAGCCTGAAGGTGCCAGGATCCAGGCTAGTCATGGGGAGACCAGACGATACCTTCATGGCCCCTCCACTGCCCCCCACCAATACATGTACCAATAAGCCAGAGAGGCTGCAGTGTTTAGGAACAAGATTTATTCCAATTTAAAACAATTCATTTCAGGAGAAAGATATGAAAAGCCAATTTCCATCAGGTATCTCTGGATTAAGGGGTCAGGGCTCCAACACACTGAGCAGAGCCTGCAATCCCACCCGCCTGGATGGGACAGCCTCTGCCCCAGGTTGGCATTGAGCTAATCGCACCCATTCCCCAGCACACGCAACAATACATGCATTTCAAAGGACAAAAAGTTTAAAAACAGCATTTTATATAATATTCTTTCTTAAATAGGTTAAAGTTTAAATCGTCTGAAATCAGGACTGTGTAATATACAAGTATAACCAACCCGACAGTGTTCACCCCGCCAGCCGGAACAGTTCCTGCACTGCCACTAGGGGGCATTGGCACTAAGATGTCTCTCAGGGAATTGGGTGCTGGGGAATGGGCTGTAGTGCAGGGCGGTCAGACACAGTGGGAGGAGCTGGGAGGCTGGCACGTGAGAGAAAGCATTAGTTCATCAGGGTGAAAATCAAAGACACTGACCGGGTGGGAGCTGAACCTCCCGCCCTGGTTGGCACAGAACTGGTCTTGGATCCCCTGGGGATACAGGGCAGCCCTGCCCTCAGCTACTGGGGTGGGGCCAGGCCTGTGGGGTTCCAGACAGCCCAGGTGGGGGTGGTTTGGCACTCTTGCCACTCTTGGGCTGTGGGATGCTTGGCACACTGCCCCCTCTCTTAGAGGGGTTAAATTTTCAGGTGCCTCCTCACATGCTCATGCCACCCCTCGAGAGCCCAATCCAGTTCCCTTTTTGTGATCTGGACCCTTGAGAGGTGCTAGGACACCGAGATGCCCACACTGTGAAGACCCCAAGTCCTCACACGGGCCCACTGCCAGCAGCACCACCTGCTTCCCTACACTGAGGGTGAGAATGGGGTTATGTTCAACCCTCTCAAGTAGACCATGGCACAAAAAGGACTCTTTGGGAAATTGGCTGAGAAGCTGGGGGTCCCCAGCCCATTCTGCCCCCAGATGGAGCTGATCACCAGGAATGTAATCACCCCTAACTTCTGCCTGTCTTCCGCTCCCCAATGCCCCGAGGCCCTTTGGCTTTGTCCCACTGGTGGGATGGGGAGAGGAGGAAGTAGGGGCCAGTCACCCAGGACTCGCTGTTTGAGTGGGTTGGGTTTTTGTTGTTTCTTTTGTATTTGTTAATGGTCCCCAAAAGGAGCAGCCACACAGAATGCTACTGGAGGGTCCAGGTGTAGAGGGCAGGGCCACCACATTGCTGGCAGTCTGTTCCCCTTCCATTTGTGCAAAACAAAACAAACACTGTAGTGTTCAGTCTGTATCAGATGAAAAGCGACCTCCCTCCCCTCAAAAGACCAGGCCCTGCTTGTACCCTCCCCCTCAGAGTCCCTCTGGGAAGGGGACCCAAGCCAGGCAGCCCATGGCTCTGGCTTGATGTGTGGCCATGGCCTGGAGGCCACCTGGGACTGAGGCACCAGCTGCCGGCTTCCACTCGACCCTCAACAGCTCTGGGCAAAGTGCCCCTGCTGCCTGCTCGATTCCCAGCAGCTCAGGGCACAGGTGTTGGCAAGGGCAGGCGATGATGGCCACCATGCCTGATAATCACCACAGGACTCTCCCTCAACCTCTCTCTTCTTCATGGGAACAGACCTGAGAATATTCTGAAAAACTCCTCAGCCCACAGTCAACACTGTTTCCAATTGGTTACAAAATGGAATGAAAGCAAAAGTGACTCCCATCCATGTGGGCCCTCTCCTGGCTCCAGGCCATGTGGGCTCCCATGGGCACTCTAGCCTGGGTGGAGAGCATGTGACCCTCAGGTACATAGAGACCAGGCCAGGGAGAGCTCCGAGCAGGCCAGATGGCCCTGGAGACAGCCGAGTACTCCCCAAGCCCCAGGGCTCTCAGAGGGTGGTGGGGACCAGGCAACCACCTGAGGCTGAGACAGGGTCCAGAGATATCTCCTTCACTGCAGAGGAGCCCATATACTTTTTGTTTTTCCTTTTTTTTAAAAAAAAAAAAGAAAAAAGAAAGAAAAAAAAAAGGTTAGGCACTTCCCAGGGTGGGCAACAGGGGAAGTCACCCACCCCCACTTCTTGGAGTCCAGTGAGCAAAAACAGCGAAGTTGTGAGGATGGCAATAACTTAAAAAAAGGAAGAAAGAACAGTCACAGTCTCCACATCTCCACGCCAAGGGACCAGGGCCAGCTGGGCGGTTCTGTCCACAGTGGCCCGAAGGTGCAGCCCCAGGGATGTGGGATGAGGGGCTGAGGGAGGTCTGGAGGAGCTGGGGGCAGGGCACTCGCTTGTCTCATCTCCGCTTGTCTCACTTTCTTTTTTTTTTTTTTCCTTTTTTTTTCTAGAAAAAGGCGAGCCACAGTCAAGGCCAGAAAAAGGCAGCCTGTGCCGCTGACAAAAGGTGAGAAGGTGCACGAAATATATAGAAAGAAAGATGTACATCCCCTGATAACTGTGAAATAAAAACCATTTGTTAAAAATATGAAAAAAAAAATTAGCTCCTCTGCGGGCAGAGCCGCTGTCACATCATCACACAGGAGGGCCTGTCCCATGGGCTCTCCACAGGGTCACACCAGGTTGTACTCCTTCAGGTTGAGCTGCAGGATGGTGTCCTTGACGGCCGCAAAGACAAAGCGGATGTTCTCCGTGTCAGTGGCGCAAGTGAAGTGTGAGTAGATGATCTTGTCGCTGTCAGGGTTCAGGTCCACAAACATCTTCAGGATGAACTCCCGGGCAGCCTGCGCGTCCCTCTGCGGCCCTGGGGGAGGTGAAGTGGGTGAGTCAGGCTGGCTCAGACCTGCCATGCAAGGAACGGGTACCAGGGTGCCAGCCACATGGGGCAGTTTATGCCACGGGCTCCTGGCCTGAGATGTACCTGCAAGCAGGTAGTTTTCTGTGTATGGGTGTGCATGGGAGTCTGCAGAGCCCCTCACCCATCTCCACCCACTTGGCCTTAGGCCCCACCCAGCCAGGACCACCACTGCTATGCATACCAGATAATCTCTCTCCTCCAACCTTCCTTCCAGACTCACTTTACCCGATTCCATTCACACTGCACCACAAATACACACCCACATCCAAACACAGGCATGCATCCACACACGTGCACACATATGCCCAGACCTACATGCACACCCACACACACGAACAGCTGCCACCCCAGCCACTACTCCACAGGGCCATACTGGCTGTCCATCCAACTGTCCACATCCTTGCCCAGAGGCTTCTGCCCACGATGTCCATCCTTCCCTGCCTATGGTCTGCACTTACCCTGAAGTCTTGGTCCCCATCTCCTCACTGTTCCCTCCCAGCAAACCTCCTGCTCACCCCCGACCAGAGGGAGTCCCTGAATGCTCCACCCAATACCCATCCCCACCCCCACTCAACAGGCCCAGAGGACTGAGCTCAGAGCCCAACACCCTGACCCCTACCAAACCTCACTCAGGAACCAATGGCCCAGATCACAAGGCCCCACCCATGATTGGTAGGGCTGAACCTGTTGCCCCCAACTTGCAGGCTGGGCACTGTGATTCACAGACAGCAGTCCTTAGGGAGATGTCCCATCCATGATCCCTGCTCTCTTAACAAGCCTGGACAACATGGGCACCACCATTTGCCTTAGAGGGAGGGAGTGACTGAGTGCCCTCGGGTGGACAGCTCCAGCTAATGCGCAAGAGAATGGGGGTCTACAGGACAGGTGGGATGGTCCACACATGTCTCTCTTCCATTAGAAGTTCAGCTGATCCAGGAAGGCGTTGGGACGGTGGTCCTGGGTCCCCTTTATTCCCAGCACCAGGCTCCTCATTATGGCTGGGCCACTGAGCCCACATGAACTTCTCACTCAGTGTGGGCAACCTGGGACAGGCCACTGAATGGGAGACTGGGAGCCGAGCATTACATCGCATCCCTCCTACTGCCGTGCACCAACTACAAGGTGCTTCTTCCCGCAGATGATGTTCCCCCTGTGGACACAAGGCCTTTCTGCCCATCAAATGGTTGGGAAAGCCTTGGCTGGTTTGGCTCAGGGTTGGAGTGTCAGCCCATGGACCAAAGAGTTGCAGGTTCAATTCCAGTCAAGAGCACGGACCTCAGTTGCAGTTCGGTCCCAGGCCCTGGTCAGGGTTGTACGGGAGGCAACCAATTGATGTCTCTCTCTCACATCAATGTTTCTCTCTCCACTCCCCCTACCCCCACTCTATCCTCAAAGTAGAAAAAATATTCTCGGGTGAGGATTTTTTTTAAAATGGTTGAGAGGATTATGGAGGAAGCAATGAGAACATAGCGCTGGGGCCCCAGGAAGCCCTGGACTGCACTAACCATACTCAGGACTGAAGGAACCACCCTCCTGGCTGTCAGATGGACAAGGCCCAAAGAGGGTAAGGGACATGCTAGAGACACCCAGCTTGCCTCCCTGATAGATCCAGTGAGGCTCAGGGGCTCTGGAATGTCTCCCAGTTCTGCAGGGGCCATGCAGGAAGGATGAGGCACAGAGGGGCACAGATCCCCCGAAGCTCACCATCAAACTCAGGGAAATAGTCCACCAGGTGGGAGTACAGGATCTTGTCCTCCAGCAGGTCCTTCTTGTTGAGGAAGAGGATGACCGATGAGTTCTGGAACCAGGGGTAGGTGATGATGGTCCGGAACAGGGCTTTGCTCTCTTCCATGCGGTTCTGTGGAGGGAATGCTCTAGGAACAACGAGGCCCTGGGAGCCGTCCTCAACTGGAGCCCTCAGAAGGGCTGGGGGCTGGTGGGTGGGGGAGCCCTCACCTCCACCCAGGGCCTTCCTCCCTCTGGCAGGCTGAGCACTGGGAGGGGTGTCTTACCTCGTTGTCTGACTCCACCAGCACTTGGTCATATTCACTAAGGGCCACAAGGAACATGATGGATGTCACATTCTCAAAGCAGTGGATCCACTTCCTTCGCTCGGACCTCTGTCCCCCCACATCCACCATCCTGCAGGGGACAGGAATGTCACAGAGGTTCAGTGCCAGGCTTTACAGACAGCACTACTTCCCCCAGCAAACCCCTCCTAACCACCATGGCTGCATCTGCTAGAGCCCTGAGGGTCTCCCAATACATATCAGAGCCAAAAGAGCTCCCAATATCCATTAGAGCCACAAGGGCCCCTCAAAACCTGTTAGATCCCCAATAGCCCCCTAATATCTGATAGAGCCCTAAGAGTACCCCCAAAATATGTCAGAGCCATGAGGACCCCTCATATTTGTGGGAGCCAGGAGAGCCCCTCCATGTCTATGGGAGCCAGCAGAGCCCCCTGGATCTGTGGGAACCAGAATATTGCACAGGCCTCCCATCTGATTCCTCCCCTGACGGGGGCCCTTAGTCTAAAGCACCCAATGGACAGGCACGCGTAGTGGGTGTGAGGTGTGAACCAAGTAGGACCTGCAATGGGCCCACCCTTGGACCCCACATCCTTCATCTGAAAACCCCCTCCCCTCATTGGTCATCATGCAGCATCATCTATATAACACTAGCCCCAGTCTCAACCTCCCCTATAGGGATAGACTGAGGGGTGTTCAGTTGACAGACACGTGTCAGCCGCTGCAAGGGAATGAAGAGACGACTACAGAGAGCAAAGCTGCATGTCCTGTTACTGGGTGAACACAGCAGGCTGCAAAGTTTGCTGTCTATCATGAGAAGCAGGTAAGAAACAACAGGATCAGAAACAAAATGGTGCGGGGAGAAAATGAGAAAGGATATTAGTTACAGGGGTTTTCTTTCTGCTTGTAAATTCCCTAGGGTTTTAACAGTTTTTTGTTTTGTTTTGAAATTATTATTATTATTTTTTTAATTTTTTTTTTTCCTGTATTGATTTTAGAGAAAGAGGGAGAGACAGAAACATCAATGAGAGAAAACATCGACTGGCCGCCTCCTGCATGCCTCCCACTGGGGATAAGGCCCATAATTTGGGCATGTGCCCTGACTGGGAATTAAACCGGCAACCTCTTGGTGCATGGGTCAACGCTCAACCACTAAGCCACACCGGCCGGACTAAAGGGTTTTTTAAAATTGATTTTTAATAGAGAGGAGAATGTCTGTGAGGAAAAAGAGGAGAAACATCTGTAACAAAAATAAATTAATAGCCCTGGCCAGTTGCTCAGTGGTTAGAGAGTCAGCCCACAGACCAGAGAAAAATAAATTAATAAAAAAAACTGATTTTTAAAGAGAGAGAGGCAGGGAGAAGGAGAGAGAGAGAGAGAGAAAGGGAAAGAAAACATCAATGTGAGAGTAAAACATCCGTAGGCTGCCTCCTGCATACCCCCCTACCAGGGATTGAGCTTGTAACCTGGGCATGGGCCTTGACCGAACCAGCAACCTTTTGGTGCACAGAAGATGCCCAACCAACTGAGCCACACCAGCCAGGGTCCCTAGGTGTTTCATAATGAGGAAAGACATTCTATTTTTTTTTTTTTTTTTAATCCTCACCCGAGGATATTTTTCCATTTTTTGTACAGATAGAGTGGGAGGGAGAGAGAGGAAGAGAGAGAGAGAGAGAAACATCGATGTGAAAGGACACATCGAGTGGCTGCCACCCGCACGACCAACCAGGGCCGGGGACAAACTGCAACCGAAGTACATGCCCTTCGCGGGAACCGAACCCGGGTCTCTCCAGACCGCAGGCCGACGCTCTAACCGCTGAGCCAAATCGGCCAGGGCTCTATTTTTATTTTTTAAAATCCTCATCCAAGAATATTTTTCCATTTATCTTCAGATAGACTGGGAGGGACAGAGGGAGGGAGGGAAACATCGACATGAAGAGACATATCAACTGGTTGCCTCCTGCATGACCCCGACTGGGGCTGGGGGTTGAACCACAACTGATGTACGTGCCCTTGACCAGAATCAAACCTGCGACTCTTTGGTCCATGGGGTGATGCTCTAACTGCTGAGCCAAACCAGTCAGGGCAACATTCTATTTATCAAAAGGAATACAAAGGCTTAAGGAAGAGCAGCTTTCAAGCCCTCTAACCTGAATTGGAGAAGGCTGGGGTCCCCACAGCTGCCCCCCACCCCCATATACACACAGTGTGGAAGGTAGGGCTCAGAAAGAAACGGCCCCAGGGAGGGGCTAAGACACAGGCTACACCGCCAAGCCAGCAGAAGCAAATCCACCTGGCAAGGATTTCACAGAGGAGACTCCAGCAAGCACAGGTGGATGATGGACATGCCAGGGTGACTATGAAGGGACAGGAGGATGGTGACGGGCCAAGAGCCCTGTGCTCAAATGCCAGGCACACGATGGCAGCTGCAGCCAATCTGTGTAATGCCATCAGGGACAACTGTGTTTGTCCTTTCTAAAGCGTAAGCCTCCCTGGTACAACTAGTCTAAAACCTGGGCCCCCAGGGGCCAGGTCTCGCTACGAGGTCCCCCCTTTGGGACCAGGCTCATCTCACACATCAGGCCAATCAGGCCCATCATTTGATGACACCTGAGCTCTGATCAGGGCCAGGCCATGAGCTCAGGGGCAAGGCCCCCAGTTTGCCTTCTGTGATCACACAACCAGACAAGTGCATAGGTGGACAAGGGCACAGCTAGACTAGAGGGGCAGAGCTGAACTAGGGACATAGCTGGATGAGGGGGCAGCTGAACAAGAGGAAGGGACATAGTTGGACAAGAGGCCTTCAGGACCCCTCAATTGCCCAATAGCACCCCTGCTTTGGTTGGAACTCCAGACCACCCTCTGCTCCTACACAAATCGCCATCCTTCCTCAACCACAGCCCCACTTTGAAAACCCCAGGAGAAGGCCATCTCCCGCAGGCCACCTCTGGCCAACCCCAAATAGTCACTGGGGCCTGGCTCACTCTGAAACTTGGGGATAGTTACTTATTCATACATCTTATCTCCTGTCCTGGATCAGAAGCTCCCTGAGGGCAAAGGCCAGGATTCAAAGCACCTTTTGCTGCCCCCACAACGGGGGCTCCAGGTCTGGGAACGAACAGCCCTCACAGCAGCCTGTAGAGCCCCAGGCTTCCCCAGAACGCCACCACTCTTGGAAAGCCAGGACACAGGCACCTGAAGATGATGTTCTCCAGGTCAAAAGGGTACTCGATGATGCCGGTGGTGGGCACACGGACCCGCAGCACGTCCTGCTGGGTGGGTAAGTAGCCCGAGGTGGCGATGCGGTCCACATCGGTCAGGTAGCTGCAACAGAGCAGGGACAGGGTTGCTCAGGCTGTGAGAGGAGGGGACATTCTAGCCACCACGGGTCCCCCAAGCAGCCAAGAAGGGCCTGCAGGGGTCTCACAAGCATGGGCTGAAGCAGCCAGGAATACTTAGGACAAGATGGGACAAGGCCTCCCCACCCCCGACCTGGCCTGGAAGGAGCAGGTCATCTGCTGGGTCTCATGGGACAGAAATGATGCTGACCAGGGAGAGACTTTGGAGGGACCCTCCCTAGATGCCCCAGGATGGCCACTCTAGGAAGAGAAAGGCGACCAGCACCAGGGTTTCCAAGAGAGGCTGCTGGGCTGGAGGGGTGACTTTTCAGAAATACGTTTACTATTTTAGGATCATTTTAGATCCACAAAAATGTTTTAGAGACACAACAGAAACTTCCAGCACACACCCACTTTCCCCATCATAAACATCTTCTATTAGTTTAGCGCATCTGTCACAACTAACCAGCCAATATTCACAGTGTCATTAACTGAGTCCACCCTTTTACCAGTTTGCTTCAGTTTCCCCTAATGTCCTTTCTCCTTCCCAGGACCCACGTTCAGACCATTCTCCAGTGGGGTAGGTGGACAACGCCTCACTCACTATTTGGCGGAGTCAGAGAGCTGATACTCTCGCCTCCGGTCGTAGCACTCCTGGATGCCAGGGTCATTCCACAGGGTCTTGATGGCGTTGACGTACCGGTGCTCAAATGTCGTCACCTTTTCCACGTCTACTTCCCGGATCAGGAGCGCATTGGCCTGTGAGGGCAGGAAGGAGAAAAGCCATGGGCTCACCAGCGGCCTAGACACATGGCGCACAGCCTTCATCCTGGGACATGGACACACTCAGCACCCAGACAACCAGAGCTGGAATCATCAACTCAAGTTTCATGTGAACACAAGAGAGAAAGTTACGAGGATGACTGGCTGCAACTGTCCCTCTGCCAGGTCCCAAAGTAACCCCAAGACTGAGGCACCTCAGAGCAGTGCCTGCCTGTTCACAATGTCCTGCTGTATTGGAGGAGGCTTTTGCAGGTAGGGGAGGCGTGTGTAAAAGCTGTACTTAGCTCTGGCCGGTTTGGCTCAGCGGTTAGAGCATCAGCCTGCGGTCCAGAGAGACCTGGGTTCAGTTCCCGCTGAGGGCACGTACCTCAGTTGTAGTTTGTCCCTGACCCTGGTTGGGTCGTGCAGGAGGCAGCCACTCATGTGTCCCTTTCACATCGACGTTTCTCTCCCTCTCTCTTCCTCTCTCTCCCTCCCACTCTATCTGAACAAAAAATGGAAAAATGTCCTCGGGTGAGGAAATAAATAAACAAACAAACAGACAACTAAATAAAATCTGTATTTATAAAAACAGGCTGCAGTTTGCCCCCTTCTGTCCTAGATGCTGATGGTCATCTATGGTCCAAGTGTGAACTGGACTCTGAACTGGGCCTCAGCTGGAAACCAAGACCCAGTGGGCCAGAGGCTCAAGCTGGCTCCATACATTCAGCCTTTCAGCCAGATGGTAGGGCCAGTAGGGGTCCCTGCAAACCTGTGAACTGGAATAAAGGTAAGAACACATCTATCAGAAATCTGGTTAACTGACCTTCTTAAGCCTAAAAGTAAATGGATTCATTTAAGCCACATTTGGACAGATATAAACTCCATGCCATGCATTAGCCCAGCGAACACTTCTGGGTGTGTTAGAAGCCCCTGAAAACAGATCTATGAAAGCAAAGCCAAGGAAGGCCTCTAGTGAGAGCCATGGGTGCACAGCTGGTGGGGCAGCCACTGGAAGAGTGGACTGTCACTAAGTACATGTCCAGGAGAAATGAAAAAAGATGTGCTAATAAAAACTTGTTCACAAATGTTACAGCAACAGGATTCACAAAGGCCAAAAAGTGGGGACAACCAAATGTCCATCAATGGGTAAATGTGGTCCATCCATGCACTGGAATATTACTTGGCCATGAAAAGGATGAAGCACTGACACTTGCTACAACATGAATGAACCTTGAAAACACAATGCTCAGTGATAGAAGCCAAACACAAAAGGCCACATAGTGTGTGATTCCATTTATGCAAAATGTCCAAAACAGGCAAATCCACAGAAATGGGAAGTGGGTTCATGGTTGCCAGAGGCTGGGGAGGGAAATGGAGTGATTGTTAATGAGGACAGAGTATCTTTTTTTAAAATCCTGACCCAAGGATATGTTTATTGATTTTAGAGAGAGAAGAGGGAGAGAGAAGCGGGGAGGTGGGAGGGACATCAATGTGAGAGAGAAACATCGATTGGTTGCCTCTCTTATGCACCCCAACCAGGGATTGAACCTGCAACCTAGATATGTGCTCTGACCAAGAATTGAACCAGCAACCTTTTGGTGTACAGAACGGTGCTCCAACCAACTAAGCCACCCAGCCAGGATGGGACAGGGTATCTTTTTAGGGAGATACAAATGTTCTGGTATTAAATAAAAGTGATGGTACATGATTCTCTGTGACTATGTCAAAAACGAGTTGCACACTTTAATCTGGTTGACTTGTGGTATGTGAACTCCATCTCAACAGAGCTGTTAATTAAAAAAAAAAAAATGCCCAGCTGGTGTGGCCCAGTGGTTGAGCATTGACCCATGGATCAAAAGGTAACCGGTTCAATTCCCGGTCAGAGCACATGCCCAGGTTGTGGGCCCAATCCGATAACCAGTGGGGGGCATGCAGGAGGCAGCTAGTCGATGTTCTCCCTCATCAATGTTTCTATCTCTCCCTTTCCCTTCTTCTCTAAAAAAATCAATAAAGAAAAAACAAACAAACAAAAAAAAAACAATGAGAGGAAAGGGCCTCCTCCATGGGGTCACCAAGATGGCCAGACATGGTTTGTGAAACACCAGGTAGGACAAGGGGCCCTCTGAGGAGATAAGAAACAGGAGTTCTTTTCCTAACCAAGAGGAGCTAACCTGCCGGCTGGCTTCCCAGTGCATAGAATGGGGGCACTAACAGCTACCTGATAGGAGAACCTAGGGTTCCACCAGAAGGTGTGGGCCCAGCAGGGGCCGCCACCATCCCCTGCAGCCCTTGTGCTGCCGGGTAGCACCTCCCCATAGCCTATGGCCTCACCTTGTTCTGCTCATACTTGTATAGGATCTTCAGAGTTTCCATGGCCCGGATCATGGCCTGCATGGCGGTGAAGATGTTCTGGTAGACCAGCTTGGTAAAGCCCCGTTTGTCTTCCTCCGAGTAGCCAGCCCCATGGATGATACGCATCTGCTTAATGAATGTGCTCTTCCCGCTCTCACCTGTGCCTAAAACACAAAACAAGGCCCGGTGAGATAGCTCGGGGACCAAAACCCACACGTTAACAGCTCACCATGTCCCCACTGTGTCCCCACCCAGTACACCAAGACCTGAGTCTCTGGGACACATGCTCCTGGCCCCAGGTGGCTTGTCAGCCCTCAGAGGGAACATGGGACACACATGACCAACAAGGGACCACTTTTGGAAGCACATCCCTGAGATTTACCTTGGTCATCCTCCCACTTGCACCTGTCCTATACAAGAGGAAACTGGGGCTCAGAAAAAGGAAGGACGGTGTCTGCAGGGTGTTTAGCCCCCCAGGCATACAACAGGTAGGTCTGTCCTCCCAAGTGCCCTGCTGGGTAACAGTGACAAGAGGTAAGGGACCACAGCACCAGGTATGAGTCTGCACGGTGTCAGAATTTAACAAGGCCCCAGATGAAGACACAGAGGCCCATAGAAGTTACATGTCTCTCCACCAGATGCCGCCACCTCACCTAGTCAGACTGACTAGTGACCTCTCCCTTGGAGTTTACTCAGCACTTTCCCAAGCCCACCTTAGTTAGATCCCTGTCTAATCTGACAATGCCTGGTGACCTCCCACCGCTCTTCTTCCACAAGTCCCTCCACAACAGTCTCCTTTGGGGCAGGAGTTTGGTATCTGCATCCAAGGCCACAGCAGTAAGGGCCAAGTTGAGTCACAGGGCACAGGATCATTACTTCAAGGTCCTCAGAAGCTCCTTTCTCATTAGCTCCAAATTTGTAACCCAACCTAACATCAAGCCATCCTGAAGCACTTTCCAGCTCTCCCCCATGACTCCACAGCACTGTGTCCCATGTCCACCCAGAGGCCTGGGTGTTGCTCCCCTGCTCTCCCACCACCACTCTCTTTTTTTTTTACCCTCGCCTGAGGACATTTTTCCATTTTTTGTTCAGATAGAGCAGGAGGGAGAGAGAGAGAAACATCCACGTAAAAGGGACACATTGAGTGGCTGCCACCTGCATGACCCAACTAGGGCCGGGGACAAACTGCAACCGAGGTACGTGCCCTTAGCGGGAACTGAACCCGGGTCTCTCTGGACCGCAGGCCAACGCTCTAACCGCTGAGCAAACTGGCCAGGGCTCACATCAGCTCTCTTCTCTCTCTATTCTGGAAATCCTGCTAGTCAGCGCATCACTGAACCACTTTGTGTCTCATTTCTTCCTCAAAAAGCATGAAGGGATACGGCCACCTTACCAGGCTCTTCTAGAGTAAGCACTCAGACCCCCCACCTCAGAGAGGGGAGCACTGAAGCAAGCTCTGCTGCCTGTAAGGATCAAAAAGTAGGAAAACCATAGGAAAAGGGCCACTCGGCTGGCTGTGTCCTCACCTCTGCCTCGAGATGAGGCCCCAGTCTCAGTGCATGCCATTCAACCAGGAGTCGCCATGCCTCCGATCCAGCCTCTGGTCCAACGCAGCCCCTGCTTCAGCCTCTCACCGCCCTGGTCAGCCCACTTTCATGCATCCCCCCACACACACAGGGACAGCAACTGCAGTGGCTTTAATGTGTCCACAAATCTCTGAAAAGCTGAGGCCTCTCACCAACAGCCACGTGAGGAAGCCATCCTGGAAGGGACTCCTCCAGCCCCGGCCAATCGCTTGACTGCAGCCTCATGAGAGACTCTCAGCTAGAACTCTCGGAATCTTCAGAGATAACAAGTGTTTGTGGTTTTCAGCTTCTATGCTTTGAGGTGACTTTATTACACAGCAATAATGTCTAATTTTTAAGAATGTACTGCCTCAGACCCCACTCAATAACAAAGCACAGGTCCTATCTCATGGACTGAACCCCTATGCTCTCTTTTGGGCGCTCAGAACATCCCAAACTTGCCCAAACTCACCCCCCTCTAAACTCATCTTCAGCACTCTCTGTGAGTCACCCATCTGCCCACCTCCATGTGTTTGCCAGAGCTGTGCCTCTGTCCATGGTGCCATCTGCTCACAGCCACCTGTGACCCAGCCTGTGCTCCAGAAAACCCTGAGTCCCAACCAGGAGCTCCACACCCTGGACACTGGGAACTATTACCACCACCTGCAATGGGGAGTCTATGTGCAGGGGTCTGTCACCAGCCTCTGTGACCAGGAGCTCCTGGAGAAGAGACCAATTCCATGGGACCCCCAGTGACCACACTGCCCTACAGCCAAGAGGTCTTCAACCAGCATCCAAGTAACTGACCACAGGCTTACTCAGGAAGACCTGAGTCACAAATGAGACATATTACAAAGCAGGGACCTTGGCTGTAGCTGCCTCTTTCTTTTCTTTTTCTTTTAAATCCTCACCTGAGGCCCTGGCCGGTTTGGCTCAGCGGTTAGAGCGTCAGCCTGCGGTCCTGAGAGACCCTGGTTCGGTTCCCGCTAAGGGCGCGTACCTCGGTTGCAGTTTGTCCCCGGCCCTGGTCGGTCGTGCGGGTGGCAGCCACTCGATGTGTCCCTTTCACGTCAATGTTTCTCTCTCTCTCTCTCTGTTCCTCTCTCTCCCTCCCATTCTACCTGAACAAAAAAAATAAAAAAATAAAAAAATAAATCCTCACCTGAGGACATTTTCCCATTTTTTGTTCAGAAAGAGTGGAAGGGAGAGCGGGGGGGAGAGAAATATCGATGTGAAAGGGACACATCAAGTGGCTGCCACCCACATGACCAACCAGGGCTGGGGACAAACTGCAACCAAGGTACATGCCCTTAGCGGGAACCGAACCCAGGTCTCTCTGGACCACAGGCCGACGCTCTAACCCCTGAGCCAAACCAGCCAGGGCTAGCTGCCTCTTTCTGATACTTTCATCAACGATTTCAGATCCTTTTTGTAATAAATGAATGACTTTGGTTCTGTCATCAAGTGGTAATTACCCCCACACCATCCTGCACCCATTCTACTTCAGAAAATCACCTTGGCCACAAAATGTACAAGAGGCCAAACAACCACTTGCCCCAAACCCACCTGAGTTCCAGGGGCAGGAGGGGGCCTGTGCATATGACCCTATGTCTCTCCAGAGGGATCCATGCTGCCCCTCCCTCACCTCACACTGCAAGGAGGGGCAGGAAGTATGCTAGGAATGTGATTTTTAGTGCATTTTCTGCTTGATCAGGGTCCCCCTTCAGCACTGCTGACAGGTTATTCTCTGGGGAGGGGGTTTCATCCTGGGCACTGCAGGGTGTTAAGCAGCATCCCTGGCCCCCACCCACTCAATGCCAGTAGCATCCCCAGTTATGACAACCATAGATGTCCCCAGATACCACCCAGTGCCTGGTAGGGATGGGATCAACCCCTTTTTTGACAGAGTGCTATTACACAAAGGTAACTGCCTGCCGGTCTGTCTGGAAGGATCTCTCACTAGAAATAGTCAAAAAGGTATAAGAATTAAAGCCAAACAGCCAGATGCAGCCCCACTGGCCAGCACAAAGCCAAGCTAGGCAGGTCCCACACTCTGTCCACGAGCCCTTGTGCTGTCGACGTCACAACTACAGAAGGAAAAACAGCCTCAGCTTTCACGTGAGGATGCTGGGAGGACAAGTGAAGAGTCTGAAAACCAGATCACTGCTCAGACGAGAAAGGAACTGGCCTCACACCAGCTTTAAAAAAAATTTTTTTAAATCCTCACCTGAGGATACTCCTCCATTTATCTCAGATAGAGTGGGAGGGAAGAAGGGAGGGAGGGAAGGAGAGAGAGAGAAACATCGATTAACTGCCAACTAGGGCTGGGGAGGAGCCCCTGACTAGAATCGAACCCGTGACCCACCGGTCTGTGGGCCGACACTCTAACTGCTGAGCCAAACTGGCCAGGGCCACACCAGCTTTTTAAAAATGGAAGTGAAGCCCTGGCCGGTTTGGCTCAGCGGTTAGAGCGTCGACCTCCGGTCCTGAGAGACCCGGGTTCGGTTCCCGCTAAGGGCATGTACCTCGGTTGCAGTTTGTCCCCGGCCCTGGTCGGTCGTGCGGGTGGCAGCCACTCGATGTGTCCCTTTCACGTCAATGTTTCTCTCTCTCTCTCTCTGTTCCTCTCTCTCCCTCCCACTCTACCTGAACAAAAAAATGGGAAAATGTCCTCGGGTGAGGATAAAAAATAAAAATGAAAAATAAATAAAATAAAAATGGAAGTGAAAATGATAATGAGTCTAGTGTGGCTCAGTGGATTGAGCACTGTCCCATGGACTGAGAGATCCCAGTTTGATTCCCAATCAGGGTACATGCCCGGTTGCAGGCTTGATCCCCAGTAGGGGGCATACAAGAGGTTGTCGATGTATGTTTCCCTCTCACATTGATGTTTCTATCTCTCTCTCCCTTCCTCTGTCTCTTAAAAAAAAAAAAAGAGCCCTGGCCAGTTTGGCTCAGCGGTTAGAGTGTCAGCCTGCAGTCCAGAGAGACCAGGGTTCGGTTCCTGCTAAGGGTGCGTACCTCAGTTGCAGTTTGTCCCCGGCCCTGGTTGGGTTGTGGGGGTGGCAGACACTCGATGTGTACCTTTCACATTGATGTTTCTCTCTTTTTCTCTCTTCCTCTCTCTCCCTCCCACTCTATCTGAACAAAAAACATGGGAAAATATCCTCAGGTGAGGATTAAAAAAAAGAAAGAAATGAAAATGATGCCCTGGCCGGTTTGCCTCAGTGGTTAGAGTGTCGGCCTACAGACCAGAGAGTCCCGGGTTTGGTTCCCGTTAAGGGCACGTGCCTCAGTTACAGTATGTCCCCATCCCAGTTGGGGTTGTGTGGGCGGCAACCACTCGATGTATCTCTCTCGCACTGATGTTTCTTGCTCTCTTTCCCTCTCTCTACCTCCTGCTCTATCAGAAGATAAATGCAAAAATGTCCTCGGGTGAGGATAAAATAAAAACAAAAACAAAATGATGAGAGCCCCCCCTCCACAGAGCCTCCAGAGGCGGTACAGGCACATTGGGGGGGGAGGGGTTAGTTACACACACACACCCATACACATACATACACACACACATGCAGCCCATGTCAATCAGCATGTAACAC